CAAGAAAACAATGAAGAGTTCATTCACAGGTCGTCATTCATATGATTCGCACCAGTATTACCAACGGTACACCACATTGGCGGTTTTAACAACGCCTAAAACATACAAGAAAAATCATCATTGCAAACCAATCCAAAAAATTAATCGGCAAGATTAAGAAAAGATTATGTGTACAGATTCGCAACAGGTGTTGCACGGCACGTTGCACTTCAGTGATTAATTTTAATCCGTACACGCCTCAGGTCGACGAAAACATCAGTACAGTACAGAGCAGGGATTCAGATTTGGTTTCTTTGCACAGGAATGCACCGAGTAACACGCCTCTTAATTTATTGAACCCGAAAACGCATTGTCGCCTGTGTATTCGAACAGATTTTCAGAATTCCGGGACGAAACTTCCGGAAGTTCGAACTGTTGGGTGCAAAGCATGACTATAAATCGGCAAGGACGGTCGGAAATCCGTTCCAATTTTTTTTTACGTTTCTCGTGCCGCAATAATCAGCGGGAACGACAACAGAAAATACCTTGTCATAATTTAATATTTTTAAAATGAGTCTAGGTTCGTCTCAACCTCAAGCAGATGATCCCGACGATGCACCTCTAAAAACTTCTTTTTAAAGAAGACGCGATTTGATCGAAACAATAAATAAATGAAAGAAATTCAAAATACTAATACCTAGCCTTTTGAAAAGCAAAACCTTTCCTTCCCAATGCACAGAACCTGCGAGCAAAATAAGGAAAAATGTAAGGAAATCTGACAACACTGGACTAAGGTATATTTGTTACACATAAATGAAAGAAATCAATGCTGCACAATGGTAATATTACCGTTCCATGAAGTCAATCGATGAAGATGAGAGAAAATTGAACGCGACGCTCAACCAATTCATACATTGATCTTTCCTTATCTTTCCTCCTTGAAATGGAAGAAAAATGAATAAGACGAATCACAACAAGAATCAAACTTGCAAATTTGAGCATACGCCAGAAAATAATGTCCTGACTCATTGATTCAGCAAACCCCAACTCGTAAAAGTATTTCCCACTAAGATAAGAAGCGCTCTCACAGTAAAGTACACAAATACAGAGAAAGTTTTCAGACGCTCTCATGCAAAATACACACGTCACGAATCTCGGAGGAGTTCCACCTCTTCAACAGAAGTACTGTACTACATCTTGAATCCTTTCATCACATACAAAAATAATCCAACTTCCGCATAATTCCAGCTCTTCGAATCCACGATGACACTTTAAACTTTCAAGGTGCACGATAACTTCCGATTCACAGTAAGGAAGAAACACCTTTTCAAGAAGACAACATTTGTATCTATTGAGATACAGTATTCACAAGTATTTTTTTTATTTTGAAGCGTTTAGGCCGCAATCAAGATTTTAAACGGGAATTTCTGGGAAAACTGAATGCGTCATACAGAGTGTGATATTTCTGAGGGAAATGCGGCAATACTCAGAATAACCTCAGTTTTTCGTGGAAAACAACGTAAAATGGGAGATAATGAAAAAGCAGCAGGCAGCACTAATTTAAAACCCGAGAACGGGATGCATCGCATTTTACGTGCGGAAAGTGAATCAATGTGAAGTTGAATTTCAGAGGCAATTATTTTCTTCGGGGTATTGAACACATAGTTTTTACAGTGATGCTAATAAGTATGCTTCAATATTCAGTACCCAGAATATGCCGCAAATCCGACAGTTCCTACCCATCCTAACTGTAATTCGCATTTCTCCCCAACGATTCAAGCGTAAGAAATCACCCACTATCAAAAACGAATGCTTCGGCGCTTAGGACTAATCCCTCAGAAAAGACAGCTTCATCTCATAAGAACACGCCAAAACGTACCACAACTGGCAGAAACCGTTGCGGGATGCCGCCCACAGTACACGGCGGTCGCGGCGGCGGCGGTGGTGGCGCAGACGTCACCGGCGACACAGCGACACGCAGAACGCGTCGAGCAAATTCGGACGAAATGCGCAGAGTCGAGGTCGTCGCTCAAAATGATCGTGCCATCAAACACAGGAATCCCGGCATTATCTCCACCGTTGTCACCACTCATCACTAAATACATTCGTCGTCTAACTCAAAATTCTTCGACACGAGTGCCTGTGGTTCAAGTGGAGGCAAACGGAGCGATAAACTAGGCATTTATCAATGCACGTGTAAAAGAGAAGGAAAGCCGATCTTCAAAAGAACTGATGCATGCTCCACGTGTCTGCAAATGTCCCCGCCAAATTTTGCTAATACAGTATACAGAACAATGAAGTACAGTAAAATCTCGTCGTAATTATTTATTGTTTAGAACGAATTCTCTCTTGGGGTCCCTCCAGTATCGACATAATGTTATTTGAGGCTAATTATAGCGATTTTATCTATCCGCTAATGACGAAGGTTTTTCTAGGTCCCAAGAGCTTCGTCGTAAAGAAATCCAATTGTACATTCATTTCAACTAATTTCATTTCATTTTTTAAGAATATTCCAATATTTGACCTACTACCGATCTTCAACTTTTGGAAACTTCGGTTCATCTGCGTTCAAATTTCGCGAATGCAATGCATCGTGTCATTACAGGATTCAAAATGCACCGCACGAGTCCAGAATAGAGCATACTCATAAATAACTCTGCATTTGCATGATTTAAGTCTCTAAGACGCCCAAGTGCTACCAGATGTTTCAGACTCAATATAACATGGGAAATAGCCTCAAAGAAGCAATCACTTCCAAAGGTAAAAATACTTGAGATATCAATGAATTTTGGGTTCGCGATGCTTAACGAGAGAATCATCTTGAAAATACTGAGCTGTTCAAAATCGAAGTGAAGACTGAAACTGAAGTTTGTCCACATTACATTGAGGAAAGGCTCCTCATAATCATCGGAATAGATCCTGCACTGATCATGATGCAGAAGCTTCAGTTCAAAAAATTACTGCTCGTTTAAATTCATGTTACACCACAGTTCCACGGCGGAATTTTAGATATTTTTAATGGTTCGAAATTGTCCGGGAATTGACATTTATGAGTTACTGCGAGAAGAAGTTCGTAGCCCAAAGCGTAAAAAAAAATCCTCTTGAAATGCAGTGTGAAAGGCGAAGGAAACATTTTCGGATCAAACGTCGTCGTTTGAATTTCCATGAGAAGAAACAAAGAACATCCTGCACACGATGTTTTTCACACTGGTCCTTCGTAGAAAAATAGCTATTGATAAATTAACACCTTGAATTAATGGTCATGATCAACCCAGATAGTACATCGAATTTACGAAACATTAATGTTGAAGAAAATATTAAAATACAGAAACGGCACATGCATCGAACACCGTTCACAACAGACGCCACATGTATAGGGAATTTTTCGATTCACCGCGAAGCCAAGTTGCCTTTTATCTTCACACGCTAAAAAAAAAAAAACAGTACACGTCAGTTCCTCGTTAACTTCACACGGTTCCTCTTTTTATTATCGCGATAAACTGAATATTCGTGAAACTCAATTTCCTCCTCAACCCCGCGGTGTTTCTCGTCAGAATTCGTTGGTCTTCCGTGTGGTTAATCAAAAACGTCGGAGTAGGAAATGAGAAGAGAAAACGGAGCCGACGGAAAAAAAATAACGTTCGACGCGGTTATCTATAGACTCACGCGTTTTTTCCAGATTTCTTATTTACAGTATAATTTTTTTTTACTCTCTCCTGAGTCCTGACGGAGGAAAATAATCCTTTCGTCGTCAGCTATCGAAAATTAAAACACTCTCCGAACTAAAAGAAAAAAGTTCAAAAATCGTAACCAGATCCAAAAAACCTCTTTTCAGTACTGTCGCGTTTATTCGCTGTAAACCGATGCTTTCCTGATTCCGATGAATCACCAAGAAAGCCGCCACCGAAATCGAAAAAAGTTTTTATCCCGAGAGGGAGAAATACTGATTACAGAGCTTCAAAAATTGACTTGTATCCCCTCCAAGCACCGAAAAAAATGTTTAGATACAAAGTTCACGAGGATTGCGAGTGCTGTGGATTGCGAGATGCACGGTAAAATCGCGGACTTCAGCAGTCAAGGTAAATTTTCACAAGCGGTTTTTTCTCTTTTGAAATTAGAATGCAGAATACACACGTACTTTCATTCAATTTTCCTCAATAAAACAGAACCAAATTATCCCACGCGAAGGAATGAATAACAACTTATAAAATTACTTCCTACAAGCTACACACAGTATCGGAAAATCCTACGTAGATGAATCCGATTTCAGCACAAAGCTTGTAGGCGTGAAAATGTCAAAACACACGGTATCGTCGCAAAATGATCGACGTCAGCGAGAGTTTAAAAAAAAAAAACATGCCACATTGTTTCCGTTAAACAGGGAATTTCAAGTTCCAATAAGCATCACGCGATTATGTCGAAATGTTGTGCATGAGCACGGGATCGCAGATCATCTTACTGTCGAATACCCGGTGCCACGAATGCACCCGGAAATGAATAGTGACAGATGCCTTTTTGATTATTTCCTTTATTTGGAACACATATGAAAAAAATGCGGTTAGGCGTCAGTTCACGTTCGGTATCATTCAGGATGAGTCAGTAAGGTTGTTTAGGAACATAGTCATACAGTAGAGTTACTGTATGTTACAGTACTGTATACTTAGTCCCCGCATAGCGGAAGACCAGCGCAAAGGAAATTCTCTCAGGCAAGAGGGGATTTTACAGGACGAAATTTGTAGGCCAAAAATGCTTGAAATGTATTGCATTCTCCTTCAAACTTCAGTTCTTTTTTCAAATCTATAGTACTTTCAATATAAATTCAAACGGCATAAGATTCAGCTCGAAAACAAATCATTGTTCAGAAAAAACATTCTTCGACATAAATTCAACCTTGTTCTGGATATTATTCAGAATTTTTGCAAAGATCACCCTGACAGGTTTCTGCTCTTCAATCAAAAGGTGAGGCGCCCATCTCGCAGATGTTTTTGTGCATCCCAGCGTGCCTTCCAAGTTCTTGAAATTTACAGGGGATAAATTTCTGGCTTGCGGCCATTCTGAATATTAATTCTGACATTTTCATTAACGTCACTCGAAATGAGAATGTGCGGCTGTGAAGGTGTCTGCTAATAAACATGGCGGAATTAATAAGAAATTCATAGCGGCAACCCTTAAAATTCATGCCATGTCGATTTCAATATTTCTGACGGGGAAGCTGGTTAACACAAAAAAAAATTCCACAAAAAAATCAGCGAGATTAGCGTCTCATCTTTATAGTGAAAAGCAAAAACTGCCAGGGTACTGGCAAAAGAACTGGCAAATTACTTTTGCAAAAGAAATTCGCAAAAAAAAAAAAAAGATGCGTACATGGGCTAAATTTTTTTTTATGCAGAATATTTTTTCTGAATAGACCAGCGCAAAGGAAATTCTCTCAGGCAAGAGGGGATTTTACAGGACGAAATTTGTAGGCCAAAAATGCTTGAAATGTATTGCATTCTCCTTCAAACTTCAGTTCTTTTTTCAAATCTATAGTACCTTCAATATAAATTCAAACGGCATAAGATTCAGCTAGAAAACAAATCATTGTTCAGAAAAAACATTCTTCGACATGAATTCAACCTTGTTCTGGATATTATTCAGAATTTTTGCAAAGATCACCCTGACAGCTTTTTGCTCTTCAATCAAAAGGTGAGGCGCCCATCTCGCAGATGTTTTTGTGCATCCCAGCGTGCCTTCCAAGTTCTTGAAATTTACAGGGGATAAATTTCTGGCTTGCCGCCATTCTGAATATTAATTCTGACATTTTCATTAACGTCACTCGAAATGAGAATGTGCGGCTGTGAAGGTGTCTGCTAATAAACATGGCGGAATTAATAAGAAATTCATAGCGGCAACCCTTAGAATTCATGCCATGTCGATTTCAATATTTCTGACGGGGAAGCTGGTTAACACAAAAAAAAATTCCACAAAAAAATCAACGAGATTAGCGTCTCATCTTTATAGTGAAAAGCAAAAACTGCCAGGGTACTGGCAAAAGAACTGGCAAATTACTTTTGCAAAAGAAATTCGCAAAAAAAAAAAGATGCGTACATGGGCTAAATTTTTTTTTATGCAGAATATTTTTTCTGAAAAATAATTTTTTTTCAGCTTAATCATACGCCATTCCAATTTCCATCGCGAAAATTTTTTTAAACCCCCCTGCTGTTCAAATACTTCAGAACATCTCGGCGCACGAAACACAATCGCAATCACTGTTTTCCTAAATTCATATTAACCCACCTTGCATCATAGCAGTGTCGATCTGTCCCACTCGCAGTCCAGTATAGTCGGCCCTGTCACTGCTGCGCATCGGGGTCCGCGACGATAAATCCGCGGAGTACACCTGGGCAGCGGCCGCATGGAACTTGAGCACTTTAGTTGTGTCCGGCACGGTAGTGTACTGCATCAAGGACATTGGTCCCTTGCCGCAAACAGCAACGATCACGCCGGAATTGGATCACAAAAAAAAATGGGAGGGAAAACGAAAAAATCACGAGGGACCAGTGATATCACGAGTCAGTCAGACGCTAGGAGCTGCCTTGAGTCGGCCCCAAACCGCCACACACGCAAGCTCGGGCTGCAATCAAGCGCCCATTCACAATAGCCACCACTGATCACAGCGACCGATCGACTCTGCCACTGCACGTAATAGTTTAAGAGATTAATCCAATTTTTCTGTTTCGATTCGCACCCGGAATAATGAATACACGATTACTCCCGACACGTCGACGGTCGTCACGAGCACAACATCAAACAATATCTGTAAGAAAACGAACAACAAGTCAATTAAAAATCGAAAATCTGACTCTTGATCGCTTCAAGAACAGCCGATTCGAATACCATCCGTCGTTATGAACCATAATAGAAACACAAAAATATCCCGAACTACACAACAAAATGGATCATTCCATTCTCAAAATTTAATGATAGTGTATCTACGAATTCACAGATTTTCAGCTGGTCTTCGGATTTTGTCATGAACCAAATCCGTCCATCTGTCGCCTGCCTTTCCCGATCATGAAAGGGAGAAAATAACGTATCCGCAAGAAAAATAATCAATTACTCACCCCAAAAAATGGCCACATGAACCCACTTGGTAAAAAAAAAAGAAGAGGAAAAACATTATGGAGTTGGAAATAGTGACTGAGAGGAAAAAAATATCCACTGAAACAGAATTTCCACCATCACAAGAGCAGACATTTTTCGCCCTACTATGAACATGAGAAGCACAGCAGAAGTTTTTTTAAAGCTTGGGTTTTTTGGCTTTGAGCGCTTCGACGTATTTGATCATTGTTTTCTGCGTAGCCGGCATTTGCACGAAGTTGAGAAATGTCTCGAGGTCGTTATCGCGACCGTCGACAAATCTGGCAGTAATTTGGGAGCGCACACTCGTTTTGGTCATGTATCTCGGGAATCCTAAAAAGACGGAATAGCCTTAATCCTACAACACAATTAAATTAGGAGATCGACAAACCTGGCACAGCGAGGAATTTGCTAATAGCTGCCACACTTTTTTCTCTTGCCTCTTCTTCACTTGACGCCAGCTCGTCGACTAGGCCATTTTTCAAAGCTTCTTGTGGCGTGAAAAGCGTGCCGAGTTGCAAGTGAAGATCGGCTTGTCGCGTTCCAACTAATGCAACGAATGCATCCATGAACCTGAATACGCAAAAAAAGAAAAACACAGCATTTTTGAAGTACTGCAATATTATGTACCTCGGAATGCTAGCGGGTTGGAAATGATACGATGCTTCGGACCTTTGACAATAATTTTGTAAACGCCAGAACAACGTAACCAGATTTGAAGATTGATCACTTTCTGGCTCGGAGAAATTTTGATGTTACATTCGGGTTTTGGCAATTCCTCAATACGGCACTTGAAATGAAAACCATATAAAATGAACTTGAACCTTCTAATTCCAGTGTCATCACCAAAACCCGTTGCACGTACCAAAATCCGTGATTTTATTGGACCTGCAGACATCGTCTGAATTTGGTTACATTCCATCACGACTAAACTCGACCAATTTCTTTCAATTGAATTACAGTCGGCTGCAACAGATACGGTCCAGTTATATGCAAGGATGGATGTTCAGGATGGTTCACGGTTTGATAACCAAATTAACCGTCAGTGATTCAGGCGACATCTACCTGACATCCAAAAGGCAAGTTATCACTGCATACAATAATTCTCAGTTCAAGTGTACAGAAGATAAAATCCTGATATCTTTTGAAAGCGTTTGAGAAGATTAACCAGGTAATTTAAAAAGATAGTAGAACTCAGATTTCCTTGGTTCTTAAGAACTTTAAAGCCACATATTACATTCGCGGCCAGAAATTTTTGTATTTTTGAATCCAAAAACAGATATGAATCACATACTGTAATCGAAGGTATTTTATTCTTCAGTGAATGCGCTATAGTATACAGTATTAGTTCATCTCCAGATTTCAACACTGAATCCGCAGAGCAACTCACCAAAAAGGAGCAACAATTCCCAGTTTCGTTTCGTTCAAGCCAATCGTATAAGTTTTATCCAGCATTACACGGTAGTCGCACCCCGAAGCTATCAAACAACCTCCTGCAGGGGAGTGTCCCTGCAAAAAAAAAAGAGGGGGGCTACAATTGTAGATTCAAGCCCCTAAAAAGACAATATTCACTCACATTGATGAGAGCGACAGTCGGCAATCTGTAAGTATACAGCACATTCCACATATCCTGCAAGGACAGCCAGAAATCCCTCAAGCGCTTTGGCTCTGGTTTAACCATCTCCATGATATCTAGGCCAGCTGAAAAAATATTCTTGACCGACTGAAACAAATTTCGGGAAACCACGAACATTTTACGACACTCTTGTAGAGGAATATCACTTTTATTTCAAACATACTGAAGTTATAATCACAGCCTTGCAAGCTTTGTCCTGATCAAGCTTCTCCAATTCTTCGCGGAAATCTTTTAAGAAGTCGTAGTTGAGGCCGTTCACGGGAGCTCTACTCATCATTAGCGTCCCAATGCCTGCAAAAGAACAGTAGCGCCAATCCTCACATGAGAAAATGAAGGATAAGCAAATGGTGGTATCAGTCGTACCAGTCTCGGAGCAAACGTTAGAAGAAACGTTGGTGGATTTCATCGCGACAGAAAGAACTCGCGGGAAACGTGAGAATCCGACACGAAGAACTTTGCTTGCGGAATGCATAATTTCCTGCGAATTCAACGAATAAACATTTGCGGGCGGCAGCTTCCTTCTGAGAACCCACGACTCGGATACATCCAACGGAGGAAAAACGAACTACAGTACATTTTCACCATCTTCTGTCTTGCTTAGTTCTAATCGTCTAAGACTGAATCAGTTTTTTTTTTTATTTGTTGGAAGCATGGAGATGGCAAACAAGTAGTTCGTTATCCTCGCCTAGAAGTAGCCGGTCCGAAATTCGGTACACCTAATAGTTAAGAATGGGCTTCTCAACCTCTACAGGCAAATCTCGAAATACCGTACAATGAATTTTAAGTCTTCAAATTCGTACGGCTTTCACGGACTTCCGGGTTTCAACCTATGACTACGTCTTCAACTTTATCAATTTAAAGACAATGGTCAAGTTTCAAACCATCTTCCAAAATCGTACTTTTATTTTTCAAGGAGAATCATTTAAATCCCTCCCTCAGCTAGTTTTCTGGTAGACTTGGAGCAAAAGAATCCACCTCGAACACCCAAAATATTTGAAAATGTTCGTGAATTGTACCAAAGTACCACTGGTTGAAAAGCCATATTCTTACATGAAAACTATCTCTTAGTCCATCGGCAATCAATAAAAAATGTCAGGGTTCAAGGCATCACTTGAACGTTTTTCAATCACAGTATCTCTGAAAATCTGAAGGAAAAGATTATTTCCCTGATCGTCTCGTCAAAAATGAACCTCTTCAGGACATGAATCCTTCACAAGCCTTCTCCACATCTTCGACGCTCTTCGGGCATTTAGCTGAGAGAACCGATATCCCACTTTCCGTGATGAGAACGTCGTCCTCAATCCGGATTCCCATACCGCGAAATTCCGCGGGAACTTCCTCATTGCACGAATCAATGTAAATCCCTGGCTCCACTGTTATCACCATACCAGGTTCAGTCGCAATACTCCGCGGAATCTGAGAGGTATCGTGAACATCCATTCCCAGGTAATGGCTCACATGGTGTGGACAAAGTGAGTAAGCCCGTTGGGAAGCTTCTGCCTCAGTAAGTGACTTGGGCAAAATCCCAAGATGCTGCAGTTCAGTCCCAAGAAGAGTACACATCTTCCGAAACAAAGCATCGAGAGGAAGATGGTCTGCGGCCAACTTTAGTATATCCGTCTGAACCTAAGACGGAAACATTGTCAGTTGTCGATTATACATTGAAAAAAATATAGAATAGAAACGAATACAGTATATTATTGCGTTTTCCTTCATGAAAGATCTGATGGAAGTCAGCTTGAATGAAGCCATTTTTCATTGAATTTACGAAAGCATACGCTTCGGGCTGCGACAGAAAATTTCGTCGTGAGCACCATCTCATCTTTTTTCCAATTCGTAAAAAAAGTTGTGAAAATTTTTTCGAGAATTTCAACAAAAATTACTTCGAGTGTGAACATCGACATAGTTCTGCATGACTGACTTTCAAGACTCACGTGACCAGAAAAAATTCTAAAAAAAATTACGTGACCAGAAAAAATTCCAAGAAAAAAAAATCTACTTCATTTATGAACGATAACCTCGAATTCCCGACTTGAATATAAGCAAATCATGCTTAGCTCATTGAAATCAAAACAGCAATCCGTGAGTGTTTACCTTCAAGACAAGTTCGTAAAGCTCCCGTTGATGCGAGCTGAAACGCCCAGAGATCGGCCATGTCCTAGTGATATCACTGCAGTAGCCATGCATATATCCTCCAGCGTCCATCAAAACCAGGTCACCTTTTCGCAGCAGCTGATTGTTATTAATATAGTGAATCGTACACGCGCGAGGACCACCAGCAATGACAGGTGGGTACGCCAAATAGTCAGCTCCTCGCATCCGTACGGCGTACTCCATCCGAGCCCATAATTCCGCTTCACTCATTTCCGGCCGTGTGAATCGCATTACATCAACAAAAGCTTCCGAAGAGGAATCACAGCTCTTTCGAAGCAATTTCACTTCTGCTTCAGACTTGAAAAGTCGAAGTCGGTGAATTAGTCGCCTAAAACGAATGATGGCCAGTTCTCAGAAATTGTATAAATATCCTCTATGAGAGTTTGTTTATTCTGAAGTTCATCTTAAAAACAAAATAAAGAATTTTAAACATGAGCAACTAAAAAATTCGTGTAAATTAATAGGCAATAACACGGGGGGAGCACTAATAAAATATTGCTTCGACACTTTTCATGATACCGTGATATTAATCTTTCAAATAAAGCCATTACTTAGAGCCGATTAACATAATAGCATTACTGCACTAACAAATGGCAACATCGATATGATGAAAATATTGTTTCTATCCCGTAATTTGCTAATCCTTAGTCGAGAGATTGAGGTGATACTTTCTGGAGGTACAAAGCTTTAGGAGCTGGGATAGAACATAAATAAGTTTATTGTGAACATTTTCTAAAATCAACTTACGTTGGTGATTCCACACGTCGGTCACAAAGCAAATCGGAGTTCATGCAAGTATGAACAGCTTCATTTGCGACAAGTTCATTGTCATACCACACTGCAACCTCCTTCCTATTCCGCAGTGAAGCTTTTATGAAATTTCCAATTTCGGACTTCGGCAACGCTTCATCAACACCGAAGATTTCCGCCGATTTCTCAGTACCGAGTCGAGGTCCTTCCCATCTTTCAACAGCTCTGTCCTTTTCAGCAACAAACAAAGTTGAACGGGATCTGGAACCGGTTTTGTCTATGTTTAAGCAGAGCACGCTTTCCGGTTCCAGGTTTCCCGTTAGATAAAGAAAATCCGTCGATTGTCGAAACACGTATGGGATTTTCTCTGAGGAAAATTTCTTCTTGGATCCAGAAACAAGCACCAAATGTTCGTCGGAAGGCACTGCACGCGATATGGCTTCACATAGCTTCTCTCTTCGCGAACGAAACTCATTCAGATGAAGGCCGGGCAGAACATCGCCGTAAGACAAAAGATGTGGATGCGTTTCCGGTAACGGATGTCCCGCATTTTCCACAGAATTGTCGATTAGTGCTTCGGGACTAGACCACCTTTTAACTTCATGAGACGATGAACATATTCCACGAAACGGCACTTGCTTCGCACAAAAACGAATGAGCGCTGGGCGCATATTCCTGCAATTCCAAAACAATATTTTTTTTTCAGTTATGGACTTCGAGCATGAAAAATTGCACCGCCACAAACTCATCGTCATCTCGCATGAATTTCATTTCATTCATTACTGCACGCATCCAGGGACCGATTTCGTATATGTTCGCAAAACATCAGATCACTTCAAAAATCTCGCATCCAAATCGTTTCTAATTATCGGACACAATTCATTATTTGCTTCCACTCCGATAACTCGCACCCTTAATCGAAACACATGACAAAATCATTCGAGCAGCAAATGCATCACATGAATCATGAAACCCTCAACTGCACGTACGAGATCTGCAGGCAAGGAGCAGCATAGATTCCGCTGCTAGTACCAAACCGTCAAATGAACATCGGGAAAGATGTATTACCTGCATACTTGCAAGGCCCAGTTTCGTCCGAAGCGTACGAAAACTTTCTTTCCCACCGAGAATAAAGGTAGAGGTTTACCCAAAAACCAAGGTTTCAAGCATATAATGATCACTCAATGTTTTTCGACCAAAAAAATCCCGAACTCATCACAGTGGAAAGGACAACGGAATGAGGCGGACAGTTGGATGACCGTTCGGAATTCCTGATCCGCCACCACCACCGCCTTTTCCGTCTTTGCGCTTCTTTTCGCGATCCAGGCTTCTCTTGTTCATGAAATCCCCGCGGCAAACTGGACATCGAGCTCGGGGAAATTGAGGATTTTTTCTGATCCAGGATTCGATGCACTGAAAACATAAAGAGATTTCGTAGTTCAGTTTTCATTTTCCACTTAATCTTGAGCAAATTATGAGTAAACGTTTTCCATCTCTGCAACGTCAATGGTAGGCTCAGCCCTTTCCCACTACTGTATACGTATTATCCAGGATCACGTGCGAAACTAACCAAATTTACGAACTCACCCTCAATTTTTGTTCTGTATTCATATTATGGAAGGAATCGCATCCAGAGAAACAGAATCGGAAATTTTGAAGAAAAAAAACTGAGGCTTACGCAGGCATAAAAAATTCTTGTACGAGTATTCGAAACGTACCCACAAGATCGAACGGTATCACGTCAAAAATGCACCCTATGCCGATACAACCAACCTAATACTGTAGTAGGAAATCTCCTGGGCGCTTCACTTACAGCAGGATTTTCGTCCTTTTTACGTTACTGCACTGACCTATTCCCATTCACATGATATTGAGCATAGATTGCACCTTCTGGTCAAAGCGGCACTTCCTTGAATACATTACAGTTACAGTATATCGAATGTTCGACAAAAAGTTATTTTTAGCAATTGTTTGAAAACAAAATTCAGGCGATGATAGCTTAATAGAAATACGATGCTAGATCACAAGGAAAAGAGAAATACTGTAACGTAGTACTCGAGAAATAATGAACAAAGTACAAGCGAATAACTCACATCGGCATGGAACACGTGCATACAGGTTATCGGCTTGAGCTTTATGGAGAATTTCAAGGATTCAAGGCAGATGGGGCAGTCGGAATCCTTCGAACAATGCCCCGTTTCCTGCTGCTTTCTCCAGGCTCTGTCTCTCAGAACATCAAACCAAGCTCGCCAATGGACTAAGTCCCGATACTGTCGTTGCACTCCTAGTCCTTGAAATCTGAAGATAGGTATCTGCGGATTGTTCGAGGATGACTGTCCGCCAGCTGCACGAGTTTGCGTGGCTGCTGAGCTTGAATTCGAGGGGCTGACAGCGATGTTCAGAATGGTAGGTCCCTCCGCAGAATCCGCGCTTGCATCGTCGGCGGTTTGCAATCGCAATGCAACTTCGACCATCTGTGCTATGGGATCGCTACTAGAATCTTGAAATATGTTCGACAACGCATTTCTCACCGCCGCTAAGAAATTACGACTCAATTGCTCATCGAAAATCTCGCTAACGTCATCAACGATCCCATCCCCGTTACTACTATTCGAATTAGGGCCATGGCCGACGGCATAAACCCGGAAATTTTCGTATTGATCCAGTTCGTCCAGTAATCGACCAATGCGAGACGAAGGAGTTGGACGGGGAGGATGGGGGGTATCAGGCCTGTTAACACCCCTTCGACTCGTAATAGAGGATGCACGCCGTTCTGGAATCGCCGACGATCCGAAGACGTTCAATGGGAATGGAGAGTCAGCACGGTTGAGGTTTCCTCTACGGCTTGTTATAGAAGAGGTACGCCTTTCTCCGGGCGTACCCGAAGAAGGATTATACTCCGACATCACAACTGACTCGTTCACAGGCTCTTTCGCCAAGATTCACTTCGATAACAGAAGGAATTTCCAGCCTGTGAAAATGAGAGAACAGAGGACCGTGAAAATCGGTAACAAACTCACACATGCACTTCATGAGACGATCTGCACACTTCACAACGTCATCATCTAAATTTCAATTCACCACCAAAAATCTTGCCACACATTAGCATACTGTACACGGAACGACACACACACGTCATCCATGTCGAGCGATGGAAGAAAATATTTCGTCAATCGCCGTGATTTATATGACTTGCTCGCGTTAAAGCCAGCTTATTCTTCCTGTTGTCCTCATAAATGTTCGACTTAAGCGACCTTTTAACCGACATGACCAGCGACGGTCCCATTGCGAGTGACTTCCGCAATCATCCACTTCCACTGCACGCCATGCGCGTACCTACTGCAACGATCGTTATCACTCCAGCTAGGCTCTTTTACTTAGAACTCACAATCTCAGCTGCATGCTTCACAGTCGGCTGAATTTTGTAAAGGTATTAGTTGCATTATTGCATACGAAATGTATCTTCCCCTTAGCTTCTAGGCGACGTGGGAAGCTTCTTTTATACACAGCAAGGTTATGAGGAACTTCAACTCACGTTCACATCACAAGTCTATTCTGAACCCAGAAGTGACAAAACAAGTACAGAGTACTGTGTTGGTCAAAAGCTGAAGTCTAAATACAAATTATTCTTCCTTATGCTACTACAGTTCTCCATAACTGTTTTCCAGATAATGAGATAACCGTACGTCTCGGGTTGAGAGCTCTGGGCATCTCCAATTCTATATCCTAGATGTCGCTCATTGTCATAAGAGGGAGCCCCTTACTAGCGGGCAAGTGTTAGCAATACAGTACTGTGGTGTTGTACAATGTACATCACTATAAGGTATTGACGGAGTAGTTCTCTGACAAGTGAGGGACACACCGTCTATGGTTCGGAATTTCGGATCACTGGCATCTGCACACACCGTTTTCAGTCAAAAATAAAATATTTGTTCGTTCCAAGGTTTAGATGTCAGTGTTTTCTAAAGATAAACAGGCACGTGCGTGAGTTCTCATCCTCGTTATCTGCTGGTTATACAGTACTGTATAGTACAGTACATAGTACTGTAAATAAGTCTCAAGAATAGTATTGGGGAATTAATCTGAGAATTGGTAGGTGATACTGCGGCAGTTTAATCCATCAAATATCCGGTGCCATCCAAAGTATGTTATGCGCGCCAAATTACGAAAATACTGTAGTTAACAATCATCCCAGATGAGGCACGACCTTCTGTACATTAATAATACTGTACATATTTTTATTGATGATTTCCGATGAGTCATTTTAATTTTAATTCTGAAGAGAGAATATCTGCATACCTTCAGTTAACAATGCATCCTTAGCCTCGGGATGTAACTTCAGAAATTCGTTAAAGTTTATTGAAACAGTAATAATATCATTGCTCATATTACACAATTTTCATGCAACTGGACTTCCTCTTTCGCGCCTTCAAAATGACTATGCTCTAATTTTGTGTAAAATATTTGAACCAACAAGCAAAAGGTATAAATGCAGCTTAATTCGTCTTTACATCTGAGTGTAAAATTGCATTGGTTGTCTCGAAAAATAAATATTCCTATTCACTGAAAAGTTAAAACTGAGCTTCATTAATGATCAATAGGGTGCTCATTTTCTTATTCATGAATCCCCGATACTCTAGTAAATATAGTACTTTTCATGTAATATTTCTAAAATGTGTCAATTTATAAGTACAGTACAGTATCAAGAATTGTTGAAGATATTCGGAAGTACTGTATCCTTTTTTGGTGGCATATACTGTAGTCACATAGATATTCCCTGATGCATTTAAATGGATAGGTGTTTCTTCATTCGGGTTTTTTTCAATTGTCCCCGGCTGAAAATCATAAACAGAGACTGTACATGCATGTCTTTCGTATGGTTTGGCCAATATTTGTTTCCCTTCACTTGAATTTCCAGAAAAAATTACTTCGCGTGAAAATCGCTAATTACAAAGTCTTTGAACCCCATCATCATATTTAAAGTCAACTGCAGGGACGAACTCACCCTGATTTTTCAAATCCTCTTCTGGTGAAAAATGCCTTTCGTATACAAATAATTGAATAAATTAGGCAATTTCTCACCCCCAAGAGTAGAATGGGTGCTTTTTATTCATTATACAAAGCCTCAAATGCATGAAAGTTCAAGCGATGGTGCAATCCATATTTTTCTAGTGTACTTAGCTCGTACCAGTAATCGATTACAAAAAAGATGCATCAGTCTGACCATATGATAATGGGCTTTCACTATATTGCGTTGAAAGTGATAAAATCGTCGAGGCATTCTGCGTAGAAGGCATTTTTGAACCAGTCCTTCATATATATACAGTACATATATACAAGATATGTTTTCGAAACATTCTGTGTTATGGATTATAGTGCCGATCGACATAGGAAAAGCTCTTTTTGTTTCGTATTATTGATCTTCCTGAGGAGGAATGCATTATTAAACTGCGTTTCTCTGGAGTTTGTATTGACAGTTACTGCTTCCTGATGGAACAAAGAAAAAAAATTATGAATGCCCATCACCTTTCAATTATTCCTCAACCTCTTTCATTATCATTTGTGAACGTTTTAGTACTGAATGCGTCAGAGGGATTCACAATAAATGTCAAAAACTTCACTGGAAGGCTTAAGAGTATCCCGAAATTGAAAAAAAATGCAGAACGTAGATTTTGTGTCGGGTAACATTTGCGTTTCGCTTTCCTGCAAGTTCATTGGAATATAAATTGGCCTTGGGCAACTTTTCAACATACAGCTCTTCCCCAGCTCAGCTGAAAGACTTTTGAATTTATTTCAACTTTAAAGCTCCACAAAAACAATAAATTTCCGAATTTTTTGGAATTTTTTCATTTATTTTAATCCTTCATCTGTCATCGTGCTGTTTCTATGCTGCCTCTTCTGGTTAAGAAAAATTGATTGAAATTATTTCAGCACGATTTATAAAATGATTACCCTTCTGTTTTTTTTCTCAATAAAGAAGCATTTATTCTACTCCTCTATTATCCCTGAAGTTGATCAGAAAATCATAAAGACCCATCACTTGAACTAGAAATGAACCAATAACTTGGATAAATCAAACTGTCACAATCGTATGAGCTAGTCAAAGATCCAAAAATAAGATAAGATAACTCAAGAATGACCTCAGAATAAATTCTTTTAATTAAATTTCCCGCATATACAGTAAGAGTATTTTCAGAACAGTTATGTGGGTAAGCTCTTGAATAAGTTTAAGGTGTTCCAAGAGGCCAGCGTTTTTGAAATGTTTAGGTTGGTTTTTTTTCATAAATATTTCTGACCATGAAAAATTGCGAGACTCATTCGTCTGAAAATACTTTCACATGAAGTCTTGAAAAGTGCGTGTTTGGTACCTCCATACAGTTTCGATGATTCCATTAATAAACATGATGAGAATAACGCACAAGGGCCAGAGAATAGGAGACCATACAATCATTAATTAACCATATTTAATAAAAAAATGTGTGAGCTATGACCACGTTGAAAATTTCGTCGAATTAAAGGTCATTTCAGTTTTATTTCCAATGGTAACCAAATTTTTCTTTAGAAATATATTTATACATTTATATATTCAGTGTCAGGAATAAAATATCCTTAACAAATAAAAGTTGAAATTTGTGATTTACGATTTTAGAAATATGAATTTAGATCAAGGAATCAAACATGAGAATTCGGTCAGGCTACGACCAGGGTGAGTATCACCCTATTATTAGGTTGGTATAATTCAGATTTCACACAAGTCCAAAACAGATGGTTGATTCTCGCAAGAGTCAGTCAAACAACACACGCGAATGCCAGGAGTGGAATGTAATGAATATTATGAATTTTTGGAACAGGAAAGCAGTCCTTCAAGGACAAGATTTAGCAACAGGATTAGTAGAGAAAGGCAAAGTTACGTGAGAACCGAGGTTTCCCGAGGTTCTCACAGAAAGTGGAATTTGTCCTCAAGGACGAGAATTCGGGTTCTAAATTTAGTTTGCTAAAAATAGAACTGAAAAATTCGCAACATTCAGGTTGACGCCAGAAAACGTTTCTTATACATTATCCGCTTGTTAGTCCTTGGAAAGGTTTGTTCGAAGCGCATATTTTTGTAAAACGCAATTTTCATTGACAGAGCAGTCAGTCAAAGGTTTTCTATGCAAAATATATTCCAGGATTGTCTTGAAATTGTTTTTAAATTTTTTTATTAAAATTTTCTTTGACATCGTGGCGGAACTTTCTTTGACATTATGTTTGACATCATTTCTGTTGGTGGCACTTATACAGAATTTAGTGTTTCATGAATGAATAAATTGTTACAATATAGCTTTGATTGTTCAAGATTGTTTTTTTTATTTGTCTTCTTTTTGAGGGTGATTTGCAGTTGTGCAGAAATTTTAGAAATAAAGAGCAAAAGAAAATCATCTCTTCATTTTTTTGGAGAAGTCCATATATTGCATTACTTTTGGTAGCTTTTACAGCATGCAGTACAGGGTATTATTATTTGCTTGCTCTATATTATTACTGCAAATAAAATAAAAATCCTGCCCTATACTGTATATGACCTTTTAAAACTACAGTATGCAATACACATGGACCTTCCTAAGTCAATTAATAAACATTCCAAAATTGAAAACCTTCCGTGCCAAATTTTTGTTTTGTTCTTGTCTGGATTCCCTTGAGAACAGTACGTATATAGTAAACGTAGACCTCCCTAACTTAATTTCCCCCTGAAATATCCCCCAGCAGGGACCCAAGAATGAGAAAATGAATAAAAATTCAACTTGGAGCTTTTTTGCAAAAGGAAGTGAGGAGCTATGTAGTAAAATTATTCAAATTAACAGAATATCCCTCAAGTTCAAGATCTTTTCAGCTCATTCATCCAGGCATTCAAGGTCCAGGCAATCCCCAATTTGACATTCCTGCAATGTTTGACTTGAGGAATTTTTTTTTTGGGAAAGTATAATATTTCATGGGGGAAAATGAAATACAGC